GTACTACCAGAATCTAAACAATAACACCGTACTGCCAGAACCTAAACAATAATACCGTACTGCCAGAACCTAAACAATAATACCGTACTGCCAGAATCTAAACAATAACACCGTACTGCCAGAACCTAAACAATAACACCGTACTGCCAGAACCTAAACAATAACACCGTACTGCCAGAATCTAAAAATAACACCGTACTGCCAAAATATAAACAATAATACCGTACTACCAGAACCTAAACAATAACACTGTACTACCAGAATATAAACAATAATACCGTACTGCCAGAATCTAAACAATAAAACCGTACTGCCAGAATATAAACAATAAACAATAATACCGTACTGCCAGAATATAAACAATAAACAATAATACCGTACTGCCAGAACCTAAACAATAACAAGCACAAAAGATAATGATTCCACAACCTTTGCAAGTTTGAAATAGGAAAAAAACGGATAAATTAATTAATTAATTAATTAATTAATTAATTAATGATTTCTGATTTCTGATTAATGTCCTTCCAAGGTTGCAAACAAACATGATTTCTTAAACCCAAGTATTTTAGAGTTCTAAAATGTACAAGTCTAGGAATACAAAAAGTACATGTTCAGAAGCACTTCAAAGCCGATCCAGGCTTGAAGATGCTATTTTAGAGTTCTAAAATGTACAAGTTTAGGAATACAAGAAGTACAAGTGAAGAAGCACTTCAAAGCCGATCCAGGCTTGAAGATGCTATTTTTCTTAACAATATTGATTCCACATAATTCATATTAAGGAATTGAGTCTTTGCACCTTTTGAAACCTGATGGTGAAAACCTTTGATATTTCAAACTTAGATTATTTGACCTAACAGGATTCACAGTTTGAAATATTCAAGGTATACCACATTGGGTTGCAAAGAATTAAAGAATAAAAAATCAGATTTGGTGACAAAGACTCATTTCCTTTCCAACTTTAAAGTGAGTGTATGGGTGTCCCAAAAAACATGAGAATTCAGTGACGAATTCGATATCGTCTTCGTTATGAATTATAGCATTGTATTACCTAATTTTAAAAGCCACAATATTATTATGTCTGCTAGAATTTATTTTATGAAAAGGGTAAAAGACTGTTAATATGTTTTTATAATGTCTACGCAAGATGAACAGTAAAGACGGACAAGTTTACTCTGTTTGTAAACTGCAATTTTCTTGTTTTACTAATTACAACCGTATGCGGTCTAAACATAAACAAACAAAATGTTAACATAGCAGACGAAACTCTTACAGATTACAGCTTTCTCAGTAGGTATATCACTATACTAAATCAAAGAATTATTTTAAAAGACGATATCGAATTCGTCACTGAGTTCCCATGTTTATTGGGACACCCTGTAGTTGATCTGAGAATGCCGTAGTGTAGAGAAATCTTTTAAAAATCATTTTGATTATCTACAAATTTCTCTACAATGCTGTATTCTCAGCTCAACTATCATGTCTAGCCAGACACTCCCTTTAAAACCTGAATTTGAAAGCTCCAGTATAATCCTCTGTATCGAAGGATTGTCCCGGGGGTAGAACTTGATGAAATAAATCTTGATCCATGGATAAACTACTCATAGCAGCCAACAGCCAGCAGTCTCCTAGCTCACCCTGAAGTACAGAAGAAACCATAAAACTGTGGAAAAGAAAGATGACTTTTTCAAAGGTTAAATAGCAAAATGAGACAATTTAGCAGTGTAGAGCTACAGGGTGTCCCACGAAACATGACAGTTGGTGAATAGTTTAGTATGTTTTCTTCCATTATTTGTCAAGTTGTTTGATACCAAAGAAAATAATAAAAAAATATTATATGGCAGTCATATTATAGTAAAATTGATTTCAAAGTAAAACATATTTGAGTAACAGATCTTTTTAACGAAATACACTGCAAAAAGTCTAAAATATCTAATACATAATAATTAGAAGAAGACATACAAAACTATTCACGAATTGTCATGTTACGTGGGACACCCTGTAGTTACAAACCCATTTTATTTGTATTTCATAGTTGATTTTCAGGCTACAACAGTGCTCGGCGTTTATATCAATACAGTGAAGACGACTTTTATAGCTCAGTTTAGATTTCTAAACAGCTGTTTTAAAATACAAGTTTACAAGTAAACAAAGAGTGTTGATTGGCAGTTTCTCTTTGTTTCCATGTTTTTGTGTATCCATGCTGTTTAAAAGCTTGGTAGAAATCAAACATTGAAATCGAAAGTCGTCTTCACTGTACTGTATGTCAAATATGCATGAAAGCTACAAAGGATAAGAGGATGTCCACAAAATTTTAAGAGAAAGCTACAAAGGATAAGAGGATGTCTACATAATCTTAAGAGAAAGCTACAAAGGATGAGAGGATGTCTACATAATCTTAAGAGAAAGCTACAAAGGATGAGAGGATGTCTACATAATCTTAAGAGAAAGCTACAAAGGATGAGAGGATGTCTACATAACTTTAAGAGAAAGCTACTTAGGATAAGAGGATGTCAACATAATTTTTAAAAAAAGCTACAAAGGATGAGAGGATGTCCACATTATTTTTAAACAATTGTTAGAAAAGGCGAAACTTTTGAATTGGGAGTGTGGAATACCGCGTATGATTCTAAAGTTGAATCGTCAAAAGGGAAAGGAAGAATCTGAGCGCTAAAGTTTCAAAAGTTCCGGTCTGTGATGGATTTAATAATTACCTGATTTATATCGAATCTATCAGCGCCATCAACAAACATCTTAGGTTCAGAACATATCTCATTAGGACGTCTCCAATCCAAACTATATAAAACTATTTTTAATACTTAATATGCAATTATACAAAATATAATTTAGAAATAAGATTTCTCGAGTATTATCTTAAAAGTGTAATACTTTGAATATTTAAAGGGACATTTGAGTAATAGGGACTCAAAATTTCCACTAAATTACTTTTAAATGCCTTTAACTGTCACAGATAATGGAGGGATTCTGGTTATTTTATTTGAGGATTGAAATTCTTAATCGGGGGTTTCTAATTAAAAACCATTTGTGCACTTATACACTAGGAATAGAGAGCAAAGACGATATACATTCATAAGTCGGGTATACAAATCTTTAAATTAGGGGCTACTCTAAATTACGCACATAGGTCCTAAGCTACCTAGGTGATGGGCTGTTAAAAGCACTGTTACCTAGGTGCTGGGCTGTTAAAAGGACTGTTACCTAGGTGCTGGGCTGGTATAGAACAAGGATTTGCTTGTTGCCGGAAACCAAGGATCCACAAACCTTACTCCCAACTTCTCACACTTAGCCTAGAAAATGTACAAGGATCAAGCACTTATCTCTCAAATTCACAAGTTATCGCAGTGGATAATTTTCCCCTAAACATGAAAAATGGCGGAACCTTGATTTTGTCATAATCTTGACCGTAAAGTTTTCCGTTCTTGACGAATGGATCTCCATCCCAGTTCTCAAGTGCAGCATTGACCTCGTCAACCTCGTCTTGACAGGAAGTGTCCTCAGCCAGCGGCGTTGGAGTCCCCGGGACTTCTGGTTCGTCTAATTGTACAATCATTTATATATATAAAGTAGTAATCTCTGTTTGATTGTATGTTTGTTAATAAAATCATAACTCATGAACCCTTTAACCAATTTGCCTCAAATTTTGATTGAGGAACTAATTTGAAAATTCTTAGTTGATTGTTTTGACTTTTACAGGGAAAACTTAGACAAAGCTGGGTTCCCAAGCTAGTATAATATTAAACTGTGGAACAGGAAAACAACTGTTAGGCATGATCTTAAATTTAACATAAAACAAAGTGAAAGTGAACAAATTACAGACTACACATTGTATATTGTTCCCTACAGACAGGTTGATTTCAAAGCTTCTGGTAAAACTTTTTTCTTTATGCCGATATCAAATACTAAAAAGATTGCTTAAATGCCGTCGTCGTTGTTAAATGGACCTCACTGTTTTTTATGATACTTTGCACTTTCTGTAATACTAGGTTAGGAAACCTAGATTATCCTGAAGTTTTGCTTGTGAAAATTAACCTCCCTCAACTTGGAAATTATAAATCAACAAACCTATGTTTCTACCCTGTTTGCCAATCAAAATTTTAGGCAAATCTATCCAGAGGTTCATTAGTTATGATGGGATATCCGAATAGAAAACTGAGATTACTAGAAGATAATTTTATTATGTTTATCAAACCTTTAGTTTTCATTCCGAAGATTTTTAGAAAGTTTATCGTCATGCCCCAAAAATCCTAATTTAGAGTTATTAGCGCATGACAAGGGCCATACCTGAGGGGGAAGGGGCGAACAGGCGGTTTGCCCTCCATGAAGGATCAAATTTTTACTGAAAGGGAGTATTCGCGAAAAATGAAAGGGGTATAGGCTTATGGCGAAAAATAAGCGCTTTTGATTGCTACTAATCTTACTTCTGTCTGTTGCTTCTTTAAGGAGAAAATTGTTAAAAACGACTTATACTGAGGACGTAGCGTCCATACAAATTCAGAAAGATGCAACATTAAACTCCGATTGTTAACAAATCATTCAGATATTACAAACAATAGTAATCGATTATTTTTCGACGCATTCGTATATAGTTGATATTTCATAATATTTTTATTTTTCATGATCTGAGTTACTTTTGAAAATATTTATTCATGTTTCGAGGATTTTTGATAATGAAGACGACATTTTCATATTTCCCAAGAATGTTCGAAAATCTAGCGCCAGCGAAATACTATTTTAAAAAAAATCAAAACTAATAAAATATTAACTATATACGAATAAGTCGAAAAATAATTGATGACTATTGTTTGTAATATCAAACGTCAAAATATAAGATAAATAATAAACAAAATCATAAAACGATATAAAATGTAAAAGATAATAAAAATCATATAAATTATCTATACAGGGAGGCTCTGCCCTCCTGCACCACCACACCCTACAGGAACACCCAGTTACAGCCCTCAGCAGTGAGAACCCTATAATATCTATGGTCGAATCTATGAACGAGTGAGCTATGTATGTAATGTACTGTAAAGTATGTATGTTGACTGAAACCAGCTGATCTCTTATCTCATCCTCCAAAATCCTCCAAGATACCCAAGACTGTATACTATATAGAAGGATACTACAGGGTGTTCCCACTATAAGGTTACCAGCCAACGAAAACTTTTGCATTTCTTTTTAACAAAATTTTGGACTTTTTGTGAGAAAATGAATTTTACGGAAGGAGGCGAAAACTATGCGATATTTCGTTAAAAAAAAATATAAAAAATTTTGTATTTTTTCTACAAATTTTTGTCACAACTCACAACACCTTTGCCTTGAATTTAACATCACTAACTATACTTTTTTGTAGCTCTAGACATGTACAATTTAAATCAATAAAGCACTTGATTTTAGCTTTTATAGTATTTAGGAAGTAATACTAATAATATGATAAAATAGTTTTAAATTATAATTTTTGGACAAAGTAGAAAATTTAAAATCAGAATATTAGATCTTCCTCTCGAGACAATTTTTCAACTAAGCTAAGAACATCATCCCATTATTCTAACGAATTACCAAATAATCAAAATTTAAACTAAATTGGTCTAGGGCTGCATTTGATCGGCCATACAGAAAAAAAACACCAAAACAGAGATTATTACAATGTATGTATAGATATCAGTTTATATATAAATAAATAAAGGAGAGAACACGGGCAGCCGTAAAGTTGACGCCGTCAGACTTTAGGATGAATTTACTTTTACTATAGGGTCAGAGGTGCGTGAGAAGCATGCAATTAAAGTAAAAAGAATTTTAAAGTTTTGTTTCAGTAAAACTTGAATAACTCAGTATTTAAAAAATTTAACCCAAAGCCTTTTTTAAAAAAGGGCCAAAAAGAGAAGAATTAAAACTAATTTTTCTTTCTTTAGACATATGAGAGTTTTATATCTATTATAACAGTTACGTAACGGATTTCAAAATCTTAATAATATTTCTCTAAAATCCTTAAAAATTGTGGTTTTAAAATTTAAATTGTACAGTTATTAAACAACCCGAAAGTAATTTCAAGTGACCCTCCATGCAAAGATGGCAATGCCCGATTCACAACGGTACCCTGAAAGCTTTGTCTGATCAAGTATGAATAAGATGTCAATGTTTATAATTTTGAAAAATGATTATTTTTATTTATTTTTAACTATAACTATAACTATAACTACTGCTACTGCAGGAAAGGGTGCAAGAATTAAAACACTTTTAAACCTAGAAAAACGACAATATCTTAGACATTATTGATCAGATAAAGCTTTTTGTATTACCATTGTGAATCGGGCATTGACATCTTTGCATGGAGGGTCGCTTAAAATTACACTTAAAGTCGATCCCTTTATTAAGTAAAACAATATGAGATTGTGCAGTTTATAACAGTTAGTCACGTATATATATATATATATATACATTTATATCCTCTATAATATATATATACACAAATAAAACAGATGCGTAACAGGAATGCAGCGATACTTGTTTCCTGGCTTGAGTATAAGTAAAAACTGAATAGATATAAAAAGACCAACTACAGACTGCTGAGTGTACACAACTTGAATGTACGCTATAACCTTTAGTTATATATCCCTTGGATACCATGAATGAATTAATTAATTCATCCAAATGATTCATCCATGTTGGCTACATAAAGAGTGTGTGGCCACGCTAAATTATAAATTATATTTAAATTTTTTTTGTGAATTTCTGTATAACAAGAAAAAAAATTTTATCTTAAAACTTCTGTGTAAAATAAAAACCAGAGGAGCTACGAGAACTCAAAGTTTTACCAATAATGTAGTATTTTACCTTTCCCTTCTGTCCAGTAATTGAAGTGTGATGACTCTTTAATAATTTTTATTCTTCGTTAATATTTATATCTTTTTGTAAAATATATTTTTTGAGAAGATGCTCAATATTTATATTTTTTGTTAATATATTTCTTGAGAAGATGCTCAATATTTATATTTTTTGTAAAATATATTCAGTGAGAATATGCTCAATATTTATATTTTTTGTAAAATATATTTTTTAAGAATATGCTCAATATTAATATTTTTGTATTTATATTATTAATTCTATATCAAACATCACTAAACATCACTAATACAGACTATATTACTCATATACTGAGTAGCATATTTCAAATCATAATTCTAATTATAAGCTTAAAATTAACTTTTTAATTTTCTGCGTATTTGATTCTATTTTAAGATGAAAAATTAACAAAGTCCCTGTTTTTTGTTATTTTAAAACATACCTTTAATTTTTTCATGGTCATTTCTGTTTATTAACGATTTTAAAACAACCGGGGTTTCCGTTTGTTAATCGACTCTTCCGTTAATTTTCAAAAACTTTCTGTTCTTCAACAGTCTTGGAGTAAAGTAGGAAAGAAATTTGTAAGAATATAATGTCCAATTAAAGGTACTGTGAACAACGTATGTAACAAACCTGAAGCAGATGTATCCCTACCTATCTATTTACTTCTAAATTCTTGTCTTTGTCTTGTAACCCTAATTTTAGTTTTGTAACCTGGCAGGCCATACCGGCCCGTATATAATCATATTTATCAATAAATCAGTTGAATACAGACTCTGCTTCAGTATAGACAGGGATCAGCCTGGGTAGGCTGATTATTAGAGTTATAGGCAGTTTAGCCGATACAGTAGTCAGGGTTGACCAGGGGGCGGGCATAACTCTCCTAATTTTGCCTAGCTAGGTTTATACTGTACAGTGAAATTTGTCGAAAAATGTTTCCTTATGACTGAGTTGGTATCATAGAGTACAGTGGGTTTAATCCTAAGTACATCTATTTGTAAGGTATTGTGTGGACAGTTAATTTTAATATTTTTCAACAATCAGATATTGTAGTGTCAAAAATTGTGTAAACAACGATGTTTCGGGTTCAGAAATTTTTCATAACATACGAAAAGAGTGGATAGAACAAGTTATCTGGAAGACAAAACACCCAATTTTTATATGCTCCTACAAAACCAATAGATTATTTCTATTTAAAAATCACTTGTTTCACGTTAAGTTCATTTATGTAAAATAAATATTTTGACAGTTTTAAGTTCTTCAATAACATAAAAATTAAGTCCAACCTAATTTAGATTTATTATTAGTTCAGAATTGCTTTTCATTCTAAAAGTCAGAAACATATATTCCTAAGAGTTAATTGTACAATGTAGATTTCAGAAGTAAAGAATTTGATAATAAACAAGATGTTATTAAGGAGAAGGATTTTATTTTTTTCTCTATTTGTCATGTCTCATTTTTATACAAAAATCATATGAGCTTATTTTCTTTGCTTGAATATTGTAGGCTTCACTTTCAAACAATAATGTCTTATAACACTGATTTACGAATTAAGATCCCCCCAGGTAGAATTTCTGATCGGGTCATTGTGTACAGTGGCTGTACAATAAGAAGTCTAAAATTCCAGATGCCCCCTCTATTACTAATATCTCGATGGGGTTGACTGATAATTAGAGTAAGAGGCAGTTTAGCCATAAAGTTTAAGTGAGGAGAGACGAGCTAAATCGTTACATTTTCTGGTGGCAGCGGTGGGATAACCTATAAACCTGATCTAGATGCCCGAGACTCCGAAAGCATTCCGGAAAAAGAGTAAAGTGAAAACCTGGTTTAATGGATTAGCCAGGGAGACATTAGCAGGCGATTATTTAATGGAACGTGAGCTGAAGTGAGTGGAGTACAAACAGGAAGTAGGGTTACAGGAAATACAGTGGAATCATTCCAAGGGTACCCAACTTTGCCGAGCGACGACTCTGAATCAGAGATGGAGATGGAGGGACAACAAGCCCGACAGCCCAAAAATCTGGCAATAATAATGAGGCAAATACAGCAGATACATGCAGATTCAAGAATTTGTTTTTATTTCAAACTACCCTCACTACCACCGACTTGTGGAAACTTTTTTATCAAAATTTATTCAATTATTTTTTTTATCAATTCCAAACTTCCCTCACTACCACCGACTTCTTGAAGTCTTTTTATCAACATTTATTCACGAATTTTATTTAAATGAAAACTACCCTCACTTCCTAGACAAAAAGCTTAAGCAAATCTTAAAGAAAATAAAGAGGCAGTTTAAAGAATTTTACAGTTGAATTTCTTGCTAAATATTTTATTATTTATAAAAGATTTTTCCCAAAAATTCTGATACTTTTTTAAGAAAAATATCTGCCGACTGACTACCATA